TGCCTGGGTACCGCGTACGGACGCTTTAAAAAAATATGCAAATTTTTTGGTAGGAAAGCGATCTCGGGAACCAGAAGAGATAGAAGACTGAAACTTTGCAGAGATACTGTCTGTGCATACATGAGCTAAAGATTTCAAGTTCAGTCCCAAAGTATCGTGGACCGTCTTTGCGAATTTCAGCCTTCCAGCTTTTCTGGTTCTGGGTTTGACAAGGAAATTGCCAATCCGGTAAAAAGCAGGAAGGCTGAAATTTTAAATGGATGTTCCCTGTATACGTACAGTTTAAAGATTTCAAATTCAGTCTCCTCGGTGCGCACAGCAGTCATGTACGGGCATGTAGAAAATTTTGGCGGTAAAATTACTAACTCGGGAGCCAGGAAAGCTAGAAAGCTGAGAATTTACGGTAGTCTTCCGTGTCCAAGTACAAATTAAACATTTCAAATTCGGCCTCCAGGTATGCGTGATTCTCAGGTACGGGCACTTGAAAGTTTTGGCGGAAATATTGCTTACTGAATAGCTAGGTCATTTTCAAAGAACGATCGTTAAACGGGAATTGTTCATTTCTCTTGTGCAAAATTTTTGATGATTTGCGCTAGTGAGCACAAAAGATAGATGTTAAGCAACAACCATTGATGCAGTTAACGACCTAAGTACTGCAAGTCTGGTGCAAAAACGCATGATCACACCGGCAAACCTGGTGCATTCTAGCCTGGGTTTACATGATGGTTTCTCGGAACGAGAAAACGATAGTAGCTTGCAGTACTTTTTCAATAAAAATACTGTGGTTTCGGTCTGCTGTGAGGGATATTATCACTGCAGCCTACACCAAGGAGAAGAATTAGGATGATTATGAAAGGCATAAAAGGCAACGGATAGGCAAAATCGGATTATTGAATGGTATACACATGATGTCAAAAGAACGCTGGGGAGGCTGTCAGCATGATGAAAGGATTCGTTCGAAGAACTATGCAGAATTCATACGAGAAATGTCCAAGATAGAGAAGAATGAAGAAGTTGCCAGCTTTTTGAATGTCGCAAAATGTGATCATGTAAATAGCAGCTGATCAGGGTGTGGCTTCTTGGTATACAGTTTCCAAAACCTATGAAAAAAAGAAAAACTTCCATGTAATTTAATGAAGTGTTCCTGTATTGTGTTCGTTTTTTTTTATAGAAACAATGGCAGGAACAACACGTTACATTTATTCATGAACACATGACAGACTTCATGAATAAAAGTATCGTACCGTTCCAAACGTCCCTGGGATTCATTATAATAATTGGCGACACGCACCGGGCTGGCCCATGCGATCATACGTTTTCGCAATATTTCGTGTCTTAATGAAATCGCTTGGGATCCCAGCAGCTAGAAATGTGTGATATACTGGTCTTCGAAGTCTAGAAAGTTAATTGTCTACGCGGTATTTGAACAGGGAACATTTCGTTGTAATGTCAGCTTTTCAAATTTTCTTGAGTTAGCAGTTTTCCAGCTAGAAATATTATCAAACTAAACTCAAACTAAACTCAGCCCGGTGGGCTGAGTTTGATAATTTTAAGTTGTACTTGTGCTGGAAACATTCCCTGAAAATTTCAGCTCCGCAGCTACCCCTGGTCCCCGAGCTAGGGATTTTCGCATCAGGGACCCTCACGGGGCCATACGCGGGGACCATGCATGCCTGGGGGCTAAATTTGAAATCTTTGAGTTCTATGAAGACGGGAGACATAACCTCAAAATTTCAGCTTTGTAGCTCTTCTAATTTCCGAGTTAGCGATTTTCCCGCCGAAACTTTCACCCCCTCGTACGCCGGGCTCAGACTTGCTTGAGGGTTGATACAGTGCTGTTGGATTGGCACTTGGTTGGGAAACTCACTGGCAAAATTTTGGTGCCGGGGCTTGCTTGGGTGCCGAGTTGAAATATTTGGACAGGCACACACACACACACACACACACACACACACACACACGCACACACACACACAGACACACACATACCGGGGTCGTCACATTATGCGTTTTTGCATTTGCATATAAGCAAAAACGCATAAAAAGAGTTCTGATACGTAGCGGCTTAGTCCCCGGGCAGTAAACCTTACTCATAGCTGTGCTAAAGGGTGAACAGTGGCTGTCGTAACAATTAAGGTATATTAATTTGGAATGGCGGTAGCGGCCCACGTCTGTAGAAGTGAATATGAATATTATGCTTGCGCATATATGTATTTTCAGTGAGTCGGCTTGGTTATGGAGCCATCGAATGGTACTCCACAGCGTCCTTTTGCACTGAAAAAATGGAACGGGCTGGCGATGTGGTCCTGGGATGTTGAGTGTGACGTCTGTGCTATATGTCGTGTACAACTGATGGGTAACAAATTATCCTTTTCTTGCATCAACATTTTTTGTTTCAGCCCGATTTATGATAGCTTTGGGCATTTTTACTTTCGTATTGGTTCTTTAAAAGGATGAATTTTTTCTGCGTTGAGAATACTACCATGCGTCAGTTGCTATTTATGCAGGAAGTCCAGATTCTGGGAAATGGGGAGGCGAGGGAGGGGAGGGGGAGGGGAGTAATGGAAGGAAACTGAAACTTTTGGTAGTTTTCAATATTAACTTCATGCAGGGGGAAGCTGAATTTAAATTTTCTGGCTAGCACGTGGGGGGGGGGGGGGGGGGGG